TTCTTATAGCAACATGACATTAATGAGATGTTTGTACTGTATTTTACAAAAATATATTTGTAACAGATTGAAGGAAAAACAACTAGTTCTTCAGTACAGATAGTTTGAGAAGCTGGTGTGTAAATTACCATAAATTGGATATTTTTGATAGGAATATTTTTGCACTCACTTTCCCTCTCCTCTATCATATAAATAATCCAAAAAGTGTTTCATTTTAAATGTCATCTTATTTTACTAATTGTGAAAGTAGTACATCTTCATTGTGAGAATAACTTGGAAATACAAAGTTTTTTGTTTTTTTTTAATAGTCTGTACATCTGACCCGAGTTAGCTACTAAATACATTTTAGTGTATTTATCTTATCCTTTTATCCTGCTCATATAAGTAATTTTTTTCTTACATTAATGAGACATTGAATACAGAATCTTTATTTTATATAGCATAAATATTATCTGTAGTCCTCTATTAGTAGCACTCTTTTTATGCCCTCATTTGCCTTGAAAACTTTGTGAAAACATCTTTGCTCTTATCTCTGAATATTTTCTTAGAACATATTTCTAGCAGTAGAAAAGTTGGTCAAAAGGTCAAAAATACCTACGAATGGAATTGCTGGATCATATGGAAGCTCTATGTTTAATAGTTCAAGAAATCTCCACACAGCTCTCCATAGTGGTTGGACCAGTTTGCACTCCCACCAGCAGTGCAGGAGAGTTCCTTTTTCTCCACATCCTCGCCAACATTTGTTGTTGCTAGTTTTTTTTTAATATGTGCCATTCTCACTGGTGTGAGATGGTATCTCATGGTAGTTTTGATTTGCATTTCCCTGAAAACCTAAATAAGAGACCAGGAAAAAGACTAATCAATACAAAGTAAAAATCAAAATCAACAAGCAACTATAAACCAGAGACACACTATGGAAGGTGGGGAGGGAGGGTCAGGGAAAGGAAGAACTAGAGTCAAAATAAGGGGGGAGGTGCAATTGTATAGGGAATATAACCAAAACAAAAATGCATGCATTGTGCAAAGATGAAAAAAGATGTAAGAATTAATAAAATAAAATATTTAAATTTAAAAAAAGGTCAAAAAGTTGTGACTATTCTAAAGCTTTGATAAATGCACTTTCAAAACTTTGAACCAAATCTGAGCTACCTCCAGCAGTAGGTATAGATCACTACCCTGAGTGTTCTCAAGGCTAGTCCTGTCAGAGAATGTTGACAAAGATAAGGACAAAAGGAATGAGTGGAGCACTTAGATGGAAGATGAGAGAAGTCCAGGACATTTTTGAGGCATGGAAAATGGTCTGTTGGTTGAAGTAGATACTGTCAAGAAAAGACTGAGAAGTTGAGTTGAAATCTGACTTCATGGGCCACTGAAAGCCAAGTTAGAGTCTTATTAGGAAACTACTGGCATAGCTTGAGCAGGAAGATGAGCGCCCCAGGACTCTGCTGTGGTATACATACCACTATTTAGTCCCTGTGTACTCTGTGCCTCTTCCAAGCTCATGTCTTTGAACCATTCCCTCTGCCTAAACACACTGCTTTCCACAATGTATCATAACTCCACCTGCTTACATTCTTCCTGCTCCATTACATAACACTTATTGGTATTTCATATCCTATTACCTCACACCTGATATTGAGTAGGTATTAATGCACTTTTACCAAAGGAATCCCAGGGACCATGTGTGTCTCATGCACCTGCACAGGTGCTCCCTTGGTCAGGAGGTAAATGTTGCAGCAGAATGAGATATTGTCTGTCTTGACTAATTCTTTATTTCAGAGCCAGGGAGGTCACCGTGAAGGACTCCATGGTGGACACCTTGCTCTTAATCTTTCCTCTTCCTTCCTTTCACAAAGACTTTCAGTTGCTAGCTTTCAGCGACTTTTATTTCTTAAAGTGAATGTTTTTGCCCATCATACTTATGTATGAGAACTTTTATCTGTGTTTACCTGTGTTTGTCTCATCATACAATTTTAAAATCAAGAAACTGGTGACAGATTTTAGAATTGTGTTTTCTCTTTGGTGGATATACCATAAATTGATAAATTGAGTTTTACTTTTTAAATTTAACTAAAAAGCAAAGTTCAAAGGAGACAGCCATCTCTTCGCTGTGCAGAATTAAGCATTATTAAATATTTAGACTTGCTTTTAGTCTCTTCTATGTGTATACTTTAGTTTTAAATTGTATTATTTTTATTATGGTAATGTTGGTTTACAACACTGTATATGGCTTAGGAGTATAATAGAGTTTTATTTTTAAAGGTATTTGTAACATAAAAATACATTGTTTTAAAAAACTTTAAATCTTAGGTAAAGCTTAAGACTCCATTAACTTTCATTCCTATTCCCATTGTTTGATATTTTAAAAGTCCTTTTACTTTTTATGTAAAAGTCTAATATTCATTCAGTAGACATGTGACTATTCCAGATACGTGTGTCCCATGTATTGTCATGTGCTGGGGACATGGTAGTAAGCATCTTCCCCCATGAAGTAATGAAACAGGATCATCTTAAGTAATGGTTACTGCCATGAAGAACTCTACACAGGGCAAATGGAGTGTGACTGGAGCATGGAAAGTGAATGATAGAAGGAAGATACGGTCGTCTCTCTGGGAAATGAGTTCTTAATGATGAGAAGAAGTAGCCATGCACAGATGTGGGCCGGAACATGCCAGTCTAGCACACAGTTGATGGCAAAGGCCTTGAGGCAGGAGCCAGCAGGACCGTGTAGTCCAGTGGCTGATGGAAGAGTGCAGAGGCAGAGAGGCAAGCAGGGAGGGACTAGATGATGGAGACCCTTGGAGGTTGTTAAATGGCCTTTGTATAGTTCTATAATTATAGGGAGCAGCCAAGGAGGTTTTTATAAAATAAGATTGATATATAATATGCAATATCCAAAATGGATAAATGCAGAATGGCTGGAATTGAAGCTAGAGTGAGAAGTTCAAATCAGTACTTACTGAAAATCTCATCTCTTCCTCATCTCTTATCTCATAGTTGGGGTATTTTATACATTAGGCATTTCTAACAGGTAACTCAAGCCTGAAAAACCAGGGACTCATCATCTCCATCGTATTTTAATCGCAGAATTAGAAAGTTCTCCTACTGTCTCCATGTAATTTCAACCTTTGGTTTTAAATTCAACCTGGAGGGGTGACATAGCTCTGGTTCTGTTTGTAGATTGGCGGCCTGAAATCAATCCAGCAACACCTGCAGGCCTCTGCCTCGCCTTAGGCTTGACCTGCATCCCTTTGAGAAAGTGCCTGCTGTAGCACTAGCCCTCTCTCAGCACACTGAGTTTCCCATTAATTGTCGAGGCAGTGACATTCATTACACTGCTGTGATGTGCAGACCCCTCTCTCGAGGCTGTTCAGCATTCGCTGCTGCTTCTCCAGCAAGGTCAACTGCCCACAGCTCTAAAACATGAAGACCCAACCCAATCTGTTTTCTAAATTCAGAGATCAGGGATGCTTCTAAATGTGACTCCCTATTGTTTGTGGGGTAAATCCAGACTTCTCAGCCGGGATGGACTGCCATTCTTCACACCAGCCCACCTCTCTAGTCTGACCTCTCTGGCCTCCTCCCTCAAGTTCACACCTTTGTTCCTGCTAGCTTCCCTGCATAGGTGGCTCTCCTCCTGCCCTTTCAGCTCACACAGGGCCAATTCATATCCCACCTTTTTTTCTTTAACTCTATCTCTTTTTTTGAGAATTGAAAATCTGTAAAACTCATGAATATGCTGTCATTATTTAAAAAAAAAATAAAAAAGAATGTTCCTTTCCTGTCTTTCCTAACCCCCCTTACATTCTCTAACAATTTGCTGCTTTTGTTTCCAGCCCTTATTTGCTGTACATTTAAATGTAAGCAATTTTTTCCTGTGACATTATTTTAAAAGACATTATGGCTCATGTTATATCCATTATTCTTTGACTTTTTTCACTTGACCTTATAATGGAAAATTTTCCAAGGGAATACATGTAGTTGACTTAAAAAAAAGAAGAAAAAACTGTATAGTCATTACAAGTACAATTTTTCTGGTAAAAATTCAAATTCAAAATTGTATCAAGTGAAAAGGGATAGTTTTCCAATCTCCTATTCTTATTTTGGAGGTTACTGCTTTTAACACTTTATCAAATATTCATAAATGTTTTAAAATGTAATCCTATCATGTATAGTATTTATTATAGCATCCTGAACATTTTTCTGTATCAACATACCCAGATGTCTCATTTTTAATGAGTACCTAGTATTCTATTATGTAAATATGCTATATTTAACTATCTCCCTGTTAGTGAATTCATTTGATCTTTTTTATCTGAACATGTCTCACCCTTCTAGTTTATGTTAAGTTGCTCTTCCTTTGTTATGAATTTAAAATATTCAACACAACAAACATTGAATGGCTAGTGTCTCTCACTCACTGTGCAGGGCACTAGGGCCACCAGTTTGCTTGATGCGCATTCCTTTCTCCCTGCTTTGAGTTATCACAGCATCAGAGAAAGATGTCCCTAAAGAACTTAGAATGCGACATGAGCTGGAATAGATAGCTGTGTCTTAGCATACATAGTATTAATTTTATTTGGGGAAGGTAAAGAAGGAGAAACTGAAATTGGACTTTAAAAATTAAATAAGAGCTTTCCTAAGGGGGTAAAGAAGGGAGGTCATTCTTGTAGAGGGAGTAACAAGAACAAAATGGGTCCATGAGAAAGAGTGTGTGATACACAAAGAATGGCCAGTAGCCCGTGAGAGAAGGTGGGGAGTTGAGGGGGTGGAGAAGACTCTACTCAGCAGTTGGACACAGAAAACATTCAACAACTGAATTGAAATACACGTGCTCTTGCCCAAAGGGACTCTAAGCTTTCTTGGGGTTGTCCTTTCTATGCCCCAAAGGGGGCTAATGTTGCTTTCAGCATAGGGGGGCTCTTTCTCGAATTGGTCTGACTTTTGAAAAACTTTTTTCTTTTTTGCACTTCTAACCATCGCATGTCCTCTTTTTGCAGAGTTTAACCACTCCAAGAAATAGAAGAGAATTTAGCCATGGCCCCAAGGAAGAGAGGTGGACGGGGGATTTCATTCATCTTTTGCTGTTTCCGAAATAATGATCATCCCGAAATCACATATCGACTGCGAAATGATAGCAACTTTGCGCTTCAGACCATGGAGCCAGCGTTGCCCATGCCCCCTGTGGAGGAGCTGGACGTCATGTTCAGTGAACTTGTGGTGAGTCCCAGACTTCATGTTGGTGGTGGCTGGGAGCTGGGATGATGGGGAGGGCTTAGTTTAGTTAGGCCCGGACATGCCCTTCTTCTGTGAAGTGGCCCCACATATGCCTTGTATATGCACCTGTGTTATCAGCGGTGAGCCTATAAAGGAGGGGGAAAAAAAAGAGGATAAGATTACAGAATAAGGGCTTTGCTGGTGATTTAAGTGAAGGGAGTTAGACCTTTAGGTTTTCAAATACGTGATAGTGTTACATCCTAAGTTGCCCTTTCTGATTCCTCCCCATTAAACCTGCATCTATAATAAATAATTCCCTCATCTGCTTCACACCTTCTGGGTTTCCCCAATGCTTCCTCCACCCCCCACTCCCACCTGATAGTATTAATGTCTTTTTAAAAATTAGTCATAACCACCCCTCCTGTCCCTGATCCTTTGATGAAAGACATTATTACTTAAGTACGGTATAATTATTTAGCCTAATGACAGGATTGGAATAATAACTGATGTGGGAAATGTTTTATGACCCTATCATGTTTTTGGACCCACTATCCTGAAGTGGGAGAGATGCATCTTGCTTAGAACCCATTCGTCACAAGACATAAGTGCTCTCCTTAACTTCGCTGCAGAAGCATCTCCAGTGTAGTGTCTCCTTCCATTTTGTGTTTCAGAATATGTTATGGCATGTGACATGTGGTGCCTGTCCCTACAAAAGGATGATATTTCCTTGCCCTGTGATCTCAGGAGTGGCCTGACCTGGAGATAGGATATCCTTGGTTCAAATTACTGCTCTGACTTCATTACCTGTACAAATATGGAAAAAAGCATATGACTTTTTAAGTCTGTTTTCTGGAAAGTGTAGAAAAAAATAATACCTCCTCCTAGTTTGGTCTGATGTTCACAGGAGAGTGATGCGTAGTGGGGATGGCATAATGCCCTTACTAGAGACTCAAGATCACCTCTGGCATTTTGTCATGGCTTTAGTTCCAGTCAGACCATTTATGTCATTCAACAGATACTAGTTTCATCATTTTGTATGACTCTTCAGTCAGGAAAGTAATGTAGGCTGTGTCACTGCCCTGCAGGGGCAACATCTGAATGGATAGAGTCACGACAGTTGTAGACCTCCGTTCACCTGCAAGCTTATCCTATTGGGTAAGCCAACATGACACTTATGTTTGAGTTCTGGTCTGCTGAGTGGATTAACAGGCCCAGTACCACCCAGAATTGCTTGGGAAAAAGACTTGACTCTTCATAGCATGTTTCTACTTTATAATGTTGAATATTTTCAGTGTTTAAGAAATCTCTGTCCTCTCTCATCTCGGTTGCATGCAGAACTCTGTTCTAGATGCTAATGAGGTTTGAAATAGAAACTGGAAACTGCTCTCAAAAGCTGACAATTTCTGTAGCAAAATGGGACAGATAATGAAGATTTAATATCACCAAAGGGAGAAGCACATCTCATCTGTGCATTGATCATGGGTCTAGGTGTTATCAGGTGTAGGACATGGTGGTGAGGTGGGTGGTCAGGGACGACTTTCTGATGGGGCTGAGTAGTGAGCAGGGATTGCTAGTGAGGAGAGATGTGGAGAAGATCAATGTTAGTGGTCGCCTCAGTCATTGTAAGCAAGTTATCCTGTTACAGCAAACATTCAGTGGTTACAACAGTAGAGATTTATCTCTTGCTAATGCTACATGTCCACTGTGGGTCACCTGGGCTTCTGTTCTTCACCATCTTTTAATCAAACTTGGTGGAAAAGCAAAGAGAGACATGGTGAACTACTTACCAGCAGGCTCTAAGCTTATGCTTGGAAATGACACATGTCATTTCCACCCACATCTCTTAGGTCATTGACAATCACACGGCAACTCCTGAGATCACAGGGTAAGGAAATATCATCCTTTTGTAGGGACAGACACCACATGTCATATGGGCAAGCTAAAGTCATTGGTGTGGGTGGAGGACACATAATTCTCTCCTAGGGAGGGATATAGTGAATCATCTACCCTTTTGGCAATCAAGAAGGGCAATAATAATATATTGACAAGCTTGGTTTTTTTTCCTCACTTAAAGTATGTTAAAACCAAAAGTCAACCTAAGAAAACATGTTGTGGATAAAGGGCTCCTCCGTGAGAGCAGGGCTGCTGGGCAGAGCTAGCACTCTCCACACAACTACATCCAATGTCCTTTCAAGGATGGTCTGTCAGTCTCCCTAAACCAGAGCCTATGTGGTGGCAGCAATGTGTTCATCCCGAAGACAGCTCATTGTTCTGTAAGACAGAAAATTCTACTCTCTGCCTTATTGATGTCTTTATTCTGTGTGAAAATTGCCCACAGCTGTTAGTTGTTAAAAAACCAATGCCAAACCAGAACTTTAAGCTGAAACCATTGGAAAACAAATTATCTTGAGGTTTGTGTCTGTCCTGGTTAGTGATGGATGGATTTATGTCTGCTCCTCACTGCCGGGGCTTAGACCACAAATGCACCCAACTGCCAGGGTTGTCCTGGGGCAAGTGAGGCATCCTCAGGGCCACCGGAATTCTCTTCCCTGGGTTCTCTTGAGTAGTTGCAGAAGCAGTTCTGCCTCTGCTCACGCACAGGAGAGGGAAGCCACATGGGGCATTAGAACTTGCATGGCCTCCTAAGTCCACTCTGTGACCGAGAGTAACCTCCTTTAAGATGGTTTCTCTTGGATTCGAGTTTATTTTCTTGTCTGTAAAATGGGAGTAATCCCATTTTCCTGATAGGGGTGGTGTGAAGATCACACACTTTTACAAGGCCAGCACCTAGAAATACTCCATGTCCTAGTTCATCAAGAGGGATGGGAGATAATTCAGGTATTTTTGGGGTACAACACCCTAAGAAATAGCACAGGTTTTTCCTTTTCTTGAAAGTGAAACCCAACTTGTAGCCATTTGGAAAGCATTTCACGAGAACCAAACTTATTGGAACCTAGTTTCCTTTCCTCCTCTGATAAGTCACTCATTTGATGTATTGAAAGTGATATTAAATAGGTTACTTTCAGAATTGCTTACTGCAAACTTATAAAGAAAGCAAGCCTGGATGGGAGGTCAGTCATGTGAGTCTTTAAAGAAGGTGGACAGCAAAGTGTACCTGGATCTCTCAGCCTTCCTGGACCAGCAATGGAATCAGGATTATTCCAGTTTCAGAACAGTGGTTTTTGAAGGTCCCATATAACTATTTAAAGTATTTTATTCAGTAGTTTTTTTAGTATACTCAGAATTGTGCAACCAACACTACAATAAATTTTGCAACATTTTCATCACCCCTAAAGAAACTCCCATATCCATTAACTATTGCTCCCCATTTCTCCTCAAATCTCCCATCCTCTGGTAACAACCTCTCATATTTTGTTTCTGGGCATTTCATATAAATTGTGTCTTACAATATGTGACACTTTGTGATGGGTTTCTGTCATTTAGCACAGTCTTTTCCAGGGTTCTGCCATGTTGTAGCGTGTATCAGTATTTTATTTTTTTATTGTCGAATAATATTCCATTGAATGGACATACTACATTTTGTTTGTTCATTTGTTGTTGATGGACATTTGGATTGTTGCCAGTCTTAAGCTATTATAAATAATATTGCCATAAACATTCATATACAAGTTTTTATATGGAAATACATTTTCAATTATCATGGGTAGATACCTAAGAGTAGAATTTCTGGGCCATGTGGTAATGTTGTATTTAATTTTTGAGGAACTACCAGACTTTTCCAAAACAACTGCACAATTCTAGATTCTCACTAGCAGTATATGAGGGTTCAAGTTTCTCTACATTCTTGCCAACTCTCATTGTCTACCCTCTAACTGACTGACCAGTTGCCTTTTTTTTTTTAAGATTTATTTATTTTTATACAAGAACCGGGGTACAAGCCAGATATGCAGGAGGGTAAGAGGATTCACTGGAGACAGAGTGGGGAACAGAACAGGCAGACTGATGAAATACGCTGCTGAGGGGAGCAGCAGGCGTGACAGGAGAAGTCTGCTGCGCTATGTGGGATTCTCGCTGGCTGGCCAGGATCGAACCCGCGCTGTAGAGGCTGCAGACAGCTTCACAGTGTGGAGCTCATCCACCTGCGCCACCAGGGAGGCCCTGACCAGTTGCTTTTAAAGTTGTTCTATGGCCTCTGGAGAAGTGAGGACACATAACTCAAGAGTGTGTGTGTGTGTGTGTGTGTGTGTGTGTGTGTGTGTGTGTGTTTGTGCCAGAAAAAGTCTCTCTGCTAACAATTTTAAAATTATTGGGAATATTAGAAAGTATTGAGAGTTTATGTTTTCTCTGCTGATCATATATTTTATGTCTTTTGAGCATCAGTTCTATTTTCCTTTATTATCTCCCAACTCTCCTCTGCAATTCTGCTTTGTCCTCTGCCTCACCCACAAATCAAGAATTTAACCAATCCAAGACTTGGTATTCTTACCATTAAATGACATGCATTATAATTTTGTCTTTTCTACAGGCTTTTAAAGGTCTTAGATGATCCCCCACCTATTTGAAGCATCCTAGGTATGACAACACTATAAAGTCTCCCTGACAAGTAACTCCTTCCATCTTAGTTAGCGTAGATTTCCTTTGGGATGAGCAGCAGAATAAATCGATCACTGGTGAACTGGTAACTGGTGAACAAAATAGACTAGACAAGTTCCTTTGTTGCACAGGAGAAACAGGCAGCAAAACACAGTCTTATCCCATGTGTCTGAGAACTCTGCGAGGGCCTGCTCTAGCAGTACATTTTGATGGGAGAAGAACCTTAATTCTCCCCTTTTCAGGTGGAAGGAGTTCCACATGCAGGGTCCACTCATTTAGCTCCCTTACCTGGGAGCAACATGCCTGCCTTCTCTTTGATATGTGCATGCATAGCTCAGTCCCTCTTTTCTCGCCTTCTCTGCAAATCAACCTGCTTGATTTGCTTTAAATTTTGTAAGAATGAACCCCCATGGGGAATTCTACAGTTGCCCAGCTCCCCCTATCACTAG